TCTGCCCCACGGCCGCCCGCGGGCCTTTTCTGCCCGTCGCCCTGCCCTCCCGTTGCCTGCGCGCCTGCCCCACGTTCGCGCGCGGGCCTCCTGCTCGTCGCGGCGCCCCCTGGGCGCCGCCCCTGCTTGTCGCGGCACCCTCTGGGCGCCGCCCCTGCTCGTCGCGGCGCCCCCTGGGTGCCGCCTCTGCTCGTCGTGGTGCCCCCTGGGCACCGCCCCTGCTCGTCGCGGCACCCTCCGGGCGTCGCCCCTGCTCATCGCGGCGCCCCTGGGGCGTCGCCCCTGCTCGTCGTGGCGCCCCCTGGGCGCCGTCCCTGCTCGACACGGCGCCCCCCCCCCCCCCCCCCCCCCCCCTTGGCCGCCGCCTCTGCCTCACCTGCGCCCGCGCCTGCTTTGCAGCCGCGCGCGGGCCTGCCCTGCACCAGCGAAACCGCCCCTGGTGCAGCCGCCCTTGGACCTCAGCAGCCGCCCCTGGACCCCGCGACGCAACCCCTGGACCCAGAGCAGCCGCCCCTGGACCTCAGCAGCCGCCCCTGGAGCAGCCGCCCCTGGTGCAGCCGCCCCTGGTGCAGCCGCCCCTGGACCCCGCAACGCCGCCCCTGGTCCCGGTGCAGCCGCCTCCGCTCTGCCCGTTGCCGTCCGTTGCTGTCCTTGCCTGATGCATGTGCCTGTGCTGCCCGTTGCCACCCGAGGGGGGGGATGTGGGTGTGGCGGGTGTGAGCAGCCATCAAGTCCAGCTGCAGCTCCTACCGCTATTGCTCCTCCTCTTCTCTCTCTCTCTCTCCTGCTGCTGCTACTGTGGGGGGGAGGTTCAAGTCCAGCTGCAGCATCAGCCGCCTCCTCTTCCACTCATCCGCAGCCTTGTGCCTCTTGTGCCGTATGTGCCAACTCTTGCCGCTCCGTGTTCGTTTGTTCTGCTCGTGTTCGTTCGTTTTGCTCATGTATCTGTTCGTTTGCCCGTATCCATTCGTGCGTCCCGTTGCTGCCGTGTCCGTTCGTGCCTCATCCCATGCTGCCCCGAGCTCCCGTGCTCCCGTGTCCCGTGCTCCCGTGTCCCGAGCTCCCGTGCTCCCGTGTCCCGTGCTCCCGTGCTCCCGTGTTCCGTGCTCCCGTGCTCCCGTGTCCCGTGCTCCCGTGTCCCGTGCTCCCGTGTCCCGTGCTCCCGTGCTCCCGTGCTCCCGTGCTCCCGTGCTCCCGTGCTCCCGTGTTCCGTGCTCCCGTGCTCCCGTGTCCCATGCTCCCGTGTTCCGTGCTCCCGTGCTCCCGTGCTCCCGTGCTTTCGTGCACCCGTTGCTGCCCTTGTCCGTTCGTGCTTCATCTCGTGCTGCCTCGTGCTTCCGTGCTCCCGTGCTTCCGTGTGCCCATTGCTGCCCTTGTCCGTTCGTGCCTCATCCCGTGCTGCCCCGTGCTTCCGTGCACCCGTTGCTGCCCTTGTCCGTTCGTGCTTCATCTCGTGCTGCCTCGTGCTTCCGTGCTCCCGTGCTACCCGTGTCCGTTCGTGCCTCATCCCGTGCATTGCTACCTGCATTTGTTCATGCGTCCCGTTCGTGAGGTTAAAGGGGTTGACTGCAAAGGGGGGTGAGGACTTAGAGGTTATTAACGGGGGGAGGGGGATCGCTATGAGCGTGCGCGCTCATGCCCACCTAGCCCACCTCCTCTCCTCATCGGGACTTGGGGGTTATTAACGGGGGGGGGATCGTTATGAGCGTGCGCGCTCATGCCCACCTAGCCCACCTCCTCTCCCTTTCCTCTCTCATCTCCCCCTTTGTAAAAGGGGGTTCGTAAGCGGGTCCGCCGGCACTGGCCCCCCACCTCCTCTCCTCATCTTCTATCCTCGGTGCACTCCTTCAGGGGGTGCTGACTGCACAAGTTCCTACCGCAAGCAGGCTAAGGGGGTGTGTCAAAGTTATATCCTGCTTGCTGTAGTTACTGTAGTCATTATTATAAACTGCTGGTGGTGCACCTCTTTTGTCTTTGCTTTGCTACATGTACCCACAGTGCTATAGTGAAGCTCATCCATTCTCACAATTCTTGGCACAAACTTCCTCGATCCTCCTTGGGCCTAGGCTCCTAAGCCTAGGCCCTAGGTAAACCCTAATATCTAATTACATCCTTATCTTGACAGCAGCCACCATTGTCGTCGCTAGCAGACTTATTGTATTTTTGGCTTATAAACAGACATGTTTTTTTGGATTAATCTGATGGGCCAGTCTGCATCAGACAAAACTTTTTTTTGCCAGGAGGACCCATCTGATGCACCAGACACCCCTCAAATCCTAGGGACGACCCTGACAGCCACGCACGTAGAGACAGCTGTGCACGCTACAGCAGAACGCCGCAGTTGGCTAAGAGGAGGAATGTTTCAATCTGTGCGATTTCCCTTTCATTCCCGGTGGAAATCAATGTAATATGCAAAGCAATGCCACCACAAACAACACATAAGTCTCATAGAAAATATAACTGATAAGGATCCGTGTAGATGATATCTTGTTCTCATGACTTCTGTCGAAGCTACGACTGTACGCAGGATGGAACTGCTCTAAGATATCCATGTCCATCACGAGCTTTAACCAATGGATGAAGTCCACGTTTACAATGACAACTGCGCGTGCGCCTGGAAACCAGCTCTAACGAACATGCCCAACGTCGTTTCCCTCGCTCAAGCCCCTCTCGGTTTGGGTTGGGCCTACTCTCACGACAAAAACAAACGCCCTCTAATCACAAGACTGGCGCCTCTGCTTCTCCTTGTCCCCAGCCCATATTTCCTCGAATTGCCATTGGAAACTCCCCTCTTGCATCCTCCGTTCAACCACTTGTGTCTGCATAGTCACGCACGAAATACTAGGCTATAATCCTTCCTCCTAACATGATACGTATCTTTCCGGTCCTACCGGTCCAGGCGGAAGCCTTGTTTCACCTAACCGCCCTCGAGAAATTAGATGCGGTCTGGTGGGCGGGCGAACGGGACCGAGGCCACAACGACGCTTCACCAGATGAGTACAAACTTCTCCTTTAGCTTCCTAACATGGCCAATCCACAATCCACCGCACTTATCTGCTAAGCTCAGCAGCGCGCGACATGTCCAAGGCGTTTCGCGAGATAAGCGCGACGCGACAATGAAACGCCAACCTACCGCTGTTGCGGTCCTAATTCGCGCAACCCGATCCAGCTGGCGCATCCCCCTCGCCCACTCGGTTCCCATCCACACTTCAGGAACTTCGAGAAACATGCTGCTTGGCCTTACCTCTCGTCGCCCGGTATATGATCCCATAAGTTATCGTCAGAAAATCACAAGCAACAGGAGCAGTTCAACCACTATCAGTACCCATTTTACCCGAGACCGATTCTTCAAATCTACCTTCATCCCTTCAGCACTTGTTAGCCATCAGCCACGAAAAGCCAGCAACGCCTCGTTGCTACGATCAAATCATGGCGTCTCGTCAGGCTCTCCTGCTGGTCCTCGTTATCGTCGCCGCGTGCCTGCTGTCGTCCGTCAATCACTCCGCGGCGCAGACGGAGCCGTTCCTCGTGACCAAGGCGCGCAGCACGCGCGCTTACGCCATCAACTGCACCAACGACTCGGTCAAGGCCAACGCGACCGCGGCGCAGAGGGCGCAGGACCTCCTTGCGGCGAACGCCACTCTCGCCGCCGCCATCGCCGCGTACAGCGACGCGGTGCCGCTGGTCAACCGCTTGAAGCTCGTCCTCGCCAGCAAGATCGCGGCGGTGAACGAGACGGCTGCGACGATTCAGTCGCTGCAGGATATCACGGTGGAGCAGCAGGCGCGGCTCGATAAGATCGTGGCGGAGACCAGCAACGAGACGGCGTTGAAGCAAGCTGTGTCGGACGCAAAGCGTCGCGTTGCCATGGCGGCAGAAATGATTGATGAACAGACGGCCGCTGTCGCCGGCTTTGGCTTCGACGTCTACAAGGCGACTCGGAGGGCTGCCGATCCGACCCTCACGGGCCAAGATCTGATCGACGCGCAGAATGATCTGGAGGCGGCGAAAGCGCGGAAGGCCGACGCGGAGGCTCTTCTGGCAGATATGACTAATCAGGCGGCGAGGGCGCAGGCTCTTTTCGCTAAGAAGCAGAAAGCTCTCGATGACCCCGCGAGCGTCCACGCCGACATTGCCGCGCAACAGCAGGTGGTAGACGACGCTAAGTCGGAGCTTAACGATACCCTCGCGGCCTACGAGGACGCCAAGGCTGCGGTGGTTCAGGCGCAGTTTGATGTGAGCTACGCGAATGCGTCTATTCCCGCGAAGTCCGCGAATGTGAGCAACGCGAAGATCGCGCAGAGCAAGGCGGTGAGTTACAAGATCAGCGCCGACAATTCGGCGAATCTCATGGCTTCTCGCGCGTACAACGCGACGCTCGCTGCTCAGCAGGCGGAGGCAGCTGCTAAGGCTGCGGGTTACACGTGGGTGTGGTAAGGACGTCCCTAATTAGTGCGAGTCAAGGCCGGGTGAAGCGCGCCTCCCCCCACCAGCCTGGATGTCAGTTTCGAGGGGCCTGGGAATAAGTTCGCATTTCAGCGAATCTACAGCGGGCGTGTTTTGTTCCGGTGTTGTATGTTAAAGATTTTATAATTGCGAATCATTCAACCCAATTTCAAGCAATAGCCTACGCAATGGCCTTGACGACCAAGGAACTGGCCTATAATAACTGCACATGTTCATGAACAACCTAATGACTTAACGCCATCCTACGGTAATTATGTACTGGAGTTCGGATTTTATTGGGGCCAACCTGTACCACCACCACCCCTCTAGGACCGGATATACCATCGGTATTTAATTGCCTTCAAATATCTCCACACTCAATTCCAACTGCCCTAGTAGAACATCCATTCATGCGTTTGTATCTTTCTAGTCTTGCGCAACCTAGCTCAACCCCACCCAACGCTTTTCAACTCTCCACAGCTATCTTGAGTAGAAACAACTATGGTATTGAACTACCTTGAAGGTCGGAACTTGCAACGGCACGCCATCGCACCTCAGGCCGTTGCAGCTGCAGCAGTGTCGAGCCTCTCCTCCAGGCCTGGCCGAACCTGGCGCTTGGCAGAGAGAAGGCGGTGCTCCAAGGCTTGCAGCGCTGGCAGCGATAGCACGAGGGCATCGTGCTGCACTATGCTGTACACGTTCAGACCCTGATGGGATGGCCATGGGTATGGTTACGGGTGTGGTAAGTATTCAGAGATGGAAAGGGGCAATTAGGGAAATCTCAAAGTGACAGCACGAGGGCATCGCGCTGCACTATGCTGTACACGTTCAGCCCCTGGTGGGAGGGTTGATGGCAAACACATGGCATGATGGCAGGATGAGGCGTGGAGGAAGTCTGCTCTTCCCAGGACTGCTGTCCTCCGAATGACATTGCAATGGAGAAGAGACGATGGGACTGTTATGATGCCATCATGGGAGAGTCAGAGAGCGCAGTCACTCACCACGGCTAGCAGCGCATTTATGTAGATGTAGAGCGATCCAGTGTGATGCAGTGCAGTGCAGTGCAGTGCAGTGCAGTGCAGTGCAGCGCATGGGAGAAGACTGAATTGGAGAGAGTGATTAGGAGGGATGACTCACCACAACTGGCAGCACGTTCACGTAATGCAAGTTCCCAGATGCCCGGAGCAAAGTTTCATCTGCCCGTTGCGACCCGTCGACAAAAAGGATCTTCTTGGAATCAGGGAACGCCGTGGCAACGTGCTGCGCCATGTCTTTTGTTTTCGGGCTGCCCGGATTCAAATCAGAGTATAGGACCAGCTGGGTAGGGGAAAAGAGTGATAGGGCGAGGGACAGGGAGAGTGAGAGGGATATTAGGTAGGGAGGGCGTGAGGGAGAGTGAGAGGAAAAGCTAGAGGGAGAGTGAGTAAAAGTACAGGAGAACTGTGATACAGAGAGGGACAACTGAGGCCGCTTGAGGATCACTCAAGGGGGCACCAGGCACACTACGCTCTCACCTGCCCCTCCCTCAGCCGTGCCGACAGCGCTGCCTTGAGCCCCAGCGCGCGGACCTTCTTGTTGAGCGAGAAGGCGTGTGAGCGTGGCTTGGGGCCGTGCATGGTGGCACCACCGCGGAACTGGTGGGGGAAGGGGGAGGGGGTGGTGATCGGGGGAGAGGGGGTGATGGGGTGAGTACGTGGGTTGAGCCCCAGCGCGCGGACCTTCTTGTTGAGCGAGAAGGCGTGTGAGCGTGGCTTGGGGCCGTGCATGGTGGCACCACCGCGGAACTGGTGGGGGAAGGGGGAGGGGGTGGTGATCGGGGGAGAGGGGGTGATGGGGTGAGTACGTGGGTTGAGCCCCAGCGCGCGGACCTTCTTGTTGAGCGAGAAGGCGTGTGAGCGTGGCTTGGGGCCGTGCATGGTGGCACCACCGCGGAACTGGTGGGGGAAGGGGGAGGGGGTGGTGATCGGGGGAGAGGGGGTGATGGGGTGAGTACGTGGGTTGAGCCCCAGCGCGCGGACCTTCTTGTTGAGCGAGAAGGCGTGTGAGCGTGGCTTGGGGCCGTGCATGGTGGCACCACCGCGGAACTGGTGGGGGAAGGGGGAGGGGGTGGTGATCGGGGGAGAGGGGGTGATGGGGTGAGTACGTGGGTTGAGCCCCAGCGCGCGGACCTTCTTGTTGAGCGAGAAGGCGTGTGAGCGTGGCTTGGGGCCGTGCATGGTGGCACCACCGCGGAACTGGTGGGGGAAGGGGGAGGGGGTGGTGATCGGGGGAGGGGGGTGATGGGGTGAGTACGTGGGTTGAGCCCCAGCGCGCGGACCTTCTTGTTGAGCGAGAAGGCGTGTGAGCGTGGCTTGGGGCCGTGCATGGTGGCACCACCGCGGAACTGGTGGGGGAAGGGGGAGGGGGGTGATCGGGGGAGAGGGGGTGATGGGGTGAGTACGTGGGTTGAGCCCCAGCGCGCGGACCTTCTTGTTGAGCGAGAAGGCGTGTGAGCGTGGCTTGGGGCCGTGCATGGTGGCACCACCGCGGAACTGGTGGGGGAAGGGGGAGGGGGTGGTGATCGGGGGAGAGGGGGTGATGGTGGTGAGTACGTGGGTTGAGCCCCAGCGCGCGGACCTTCTTGTTGAGCGAGAAGGCGTGTGAGCGTGGCTTGGGGCCGTGCATGGTGGCACCACCGCGGAACTGGTGGGGGAAGGGGGAGGGGTGGTGATCGGGGGAGAGGGGGTGATGGGGTGAGTACGTGGGTTGAGCCCCAGCGCGCGGACCTTCTTGTTGAGCGAGAAGGCGTGTGAGCGTGGCTTGGGGCCGTGCATGGTGGCACCACCGCGGAACTGGTGGGGGAAGGGGGAGGGGGTGGTGATCGGGGAGAGGGGGTGATGGGGTGAGTACGTGGGTTGAGCCCCAGCGCGCGGACCTTCTTGTTGAGCGAGAAGGCGTGTGAGCGTGGCTTGGGGCCGTGCATGGTGGCACCACCGCGGAACTGGTGGGGGAAGGGGGAGGGGGTGGTGATCGGGGGAGAGGGGGTGATGGGGTGAGTACGTGGGTTGAGCCCCAGCGCGCGGACCTTCTTGTTGAGCGAGAAGGCGTGTGAGCGTGGCTTGGGGCCGTGCATGGTGGCACCACCGCGGAACTGGTGGGGGAAGGGGGAGGGGTGGTGATCGGGGGAGAGGGGGTGATGGGGTGAGTACGTGGGTTGAGCCCCAGCGCGCGGACCTTCTTGTTGAGCGAGAAGGCGTGTGAGCGTGGCTTGGGGCCGTGCATGGTGGCACCACCGCGGAACTGGTGGGGAAGGGGGAGGGGGTGGTGATCGGGGGAGAGGGGGTGATGGGGTGAGTACGTGGGTTGAGCCCCAGCGCGCGGACCTTCTTGTTGAGCGAGAAGGCGTGTGAGCGTGGCTTGGGGCCGTGCATGGTGGCAACCACGGAAACTGGTGGGAACTGGTGGGGGGGGGGGGGGGTGGTGATCGGGGGAGAGGGGGTGATGGGGTGAGTACGTGGGTTGAGCCCCAGCGCGCGGACCTTCTTGTTGAGCGAGAAGGCGTGTGAGCGTGGCTTGGGGCCGTGCATGGTGGCACCACCGCGGAACTGGTGGGGGAAGGGGGAGGGGGTGGTGATCGGGGGAGAGGGGGTGATGGGGTGAGTACGTGGGTTGAGCCCCAGCGCGCGGACCTTCTTGTTGAGCGAGAAGGCGTGTGAGCGTGGCTTGGGGCCGTGCATGGTGGCACCACCGCGGAACTGGTGGGGGAAGCCCAGCGCGCGGACCTTCTTGTTGAGCGAGAAGGCGTGTGAGCGTGGCTTGGGGCCGTGCATGGTGGCACCACCCGCGGAACTGGTGGGGGAAGGGGGAGGGGGGTGGTGATCGGGGGAGAGGGGGGTGATGGGGTGAGTACGTGGGTTGAGGCCCAGCGCGCGGACCTTCTTGTTGAGCGAGAAGGCGTGTGAGCGTGGCTTGGGGCCGTGCATGGTGGCACCACCGCGGAACTGGTGGGGGAAGGGGGAGGGGGTGGTGATCGGGGGAGAGGGGGTGATGGGGGTGAGTACGTGGGTTGAGCCCCAGCGCGCGGACCTTCTTGTTGAGCGAGAAGGCGTGTGAGCGTGGCTTGGGGCCGTGCATGGTGGCACCACCGCGGAACTGGTGGGGGAAGGGGGGGGGGTGGTGATGGGGGGAGAGGGGTGATGGGGTGAGTACGTGGGTTGAGCCCCAGCGCGCGGACCTTCTTGTTGAGCGAGAAGGCGTGTGAGCGTGGCTTGGGGCCGTGCATGGTGGCACCACCGCGGAACTGGTGGGGGAGGGGGAGGGGTGGTGATCGGGGAGAGGGGGTGATGGGTGAGTACGTGGGTTGAGCCCCAGCGCGCGGACCTTCTTGTTGAGCGAGAAGGCGTGTGAGCGTGGCTTGGGGCCGTGCATGGTGGCACCACCGCGGAACTGGTGGGGGAAGGGGGGGGGTGGTGATCGGGGGAGGGGGTGATGGGGTGAGTACGTGGGTTGAGCCCCAGCGCGCGGACCTTCTTGTTGAGCGAGAAGGCGTGTGAGCGTGGCTTGGGGCCGTGCATGGTGGCACCACCGCGGAACTGGTGGGGGAAGGGGGAGGGGTGGTGATCGGGGGAGAGGGGGTGATGGGGTGAGTACGTGGGTTGAGCCCCAGCGCGCGGACCTTCTTGTTGAGCGAGAAGGCGTGTGAGCGTGGCTTGGGGCCGTGCATGGTGGCACCACCGCGGAACTGGTGGGGGAAGGGGGAGGGGTGGTGATCGGGGGAGAGGGGGTGATGGGGTGAGTAGGTTGAGCCCCAGCGCGCGGACCTTCTTGTTGAGCGAGAAGGCGTGTGAGCGTGGCTTGGGGCCGTGCATGGTGGCACCACCGCGGAACTGGTGGGGGAAGGGGGAGGGGGTGGTGATCGGGGGAGAGGGGGTGATGGGGTGAGTACGTGGGTTGAGCCCCAGCGCGCGGACCTTCTTGTTGAGCGAGAAGGCGTGTGAGCGTGGCTTGGGGCCGTGCATGGTGGCACCACCGCGGAACTGGTGGGGGAAGGGGGGGGGGTGGTGATCGGGGGAGAGGGGGTGATGGTGAGTACGTGGGTTGAGCCCAGCGCGCGGACCTTCTTGTTGAGCGAGAAGGCGTTGAGCGTGGCTTGGGGCCGTGCATGGTGGCACCACCGCGGAACTGGTGGGGGAAGGGGGAGGGGGTGGTGATCGGGGGAGAGGGGGTGATGGGGTGAGTACGTGGGTTGAGCCCCAGCGCGCGGACCTTCTTGTTGAGCGAGAAGGCGTGTGAGCGTGGCTTGGGGCCGTGCATGGTGGCACCACCGCGGAACTGGTGGGGAAGGGGGAGGGGGTGGTGATCGGGGGAGAGGGGGGATGGGGTGAGTACGTGGGTTGAGCCCAGCGCGCGGACCTTCTTGTTGAGCGAGAAGGCGTGTGAGCGTGGCTTGGGGCCGTGCATGGTGGCACCACCGCGGAACTGGTGGGGGAAGGGGGAGGGGGTGGTGATCGGGGGAGAGGGGGTGATGGGGTGAGTACGTGGGTTGAGCCCCAGCGCGCGGACCTTCTTGTTGAGCGAGAAGGCGTGTGAGCGTGGCTTGGGGCCGTGCATGGTGGCACCACCGCGGAACTGGTGGGGGAAGGGGGAGGGGGTGGTGATCGGGGGAGAGGGGGTGATGGGGTGAGTACGTGGGTTGAGCCCCAGCGCGCGGACCTTCTTGTTGAGCGAGAAGGCGTGTGAGCGTGGCTTGGGGCCGTGCATGGTGGCACCACCGCGGAACTGGTGGGGGAAGGGGGAGGGGGTGGTGATCGGGGGAGAGGGGGTGATTGGGTGAGTACGTGGGTTGAGCCCCAGCGCGCGGACCTTCTTGTTGAGCGAGAAGGCGTGTGAGCGTGGCTTGGGGCCGTGCATGGTGGCACCACCGCGGAACTGGTGGGGAAGGGGGAGGGGGGTGGTGATCGGGGGAGAGGGGGTGATGGGGTGAGTACGTGGGTTGAGCCCAGCGCGCGGACCTTCTTTTGAGCGAGAAGGCGTGTGAGCGTGGCTTGGGGCCGTGCATGGTGGCACCACCGCGGAACTGGGGGGGAAGGGGGAGGGGGTGGTGATCGGGGGAGAGGGGGTGATGGGGTGAGTACGTGGGTTGAGCCCCAGCGCGCGGACCTTCTTGTTGAGCGAGAAGGCGTGTGAGCGTGGCTTGGGGCCGTGCATGGTGGCACCACCGCGGAACTGGGGGGAGCCCCAGCGCGCGGACCTTCTTGTTGAGCGAGAAGGCGTGTGAGCGTGGCTTGGGGCCGTGCATGGTGGCACCACCGCGGAACTGGTGGGGGAAGGGGGAGGGGGTGGTGATCGGGGGAGAGGGGGTGATGGGGTGAGTACGTGGGTTGAGCCCCAGCGCGCGGACCTTCTTGTTGAGCGAGAAGGCGTGTGAGCGTGGCTTGGGGCCGTGCATGGTGGCACCACCGCGGGAACTGGTGGGGGAAGGGGAGGGGGGTGGTGATCGGGGGAGAGGGGGTGATGGGGTGAGTACGTGGGTTGAGCCCCAGCGCGCGGACCTTCTTGTTGAGCGAGAAGGCGTGTGAGCGTGGCTTGGGGCCGTGCATGGTGGCACCACCGCGGAACTGGTGGGGGAAGGGGGGGAGGGGGTGGTGATCGGGGGAGAGGGGGTGATGGGGTGAGTACGTGGGTTGAGCCCCAGCGCGCGGACCTTCTTGTTGAGCGAGAAGGCGTGTGAGCGTGGCTTGGGGCCGTGCATGGTGGCACCACCACCGCGGAACTGGTGGGGGAAGGGGGAGGGGGTGGTGATCGGGGGAGAGGGGGTGATGGGGTGAGTACGTGGGTTGAGCCCCAGCGCGCGGACCTTCTTGTTGAGCGAGAAGGCGTGTGAGCGTGGCTTGGGGCCGTGCATGGTGGCACCACCGCGGAACTGGTGGGGAAGGGGGAGGGGGTGGTGATCGGGGGAGAGGGGTGATGGGGTGAGTACGTGTGGGTTGAGCCCCAGCGCGCGGACCTTCTTGTTGAGCGAGAAGGCGTGTGAGCGTGGCTTGGGGCCGTGCATGGTGGCACCACCGCGGAACTGGTGGGGGAAGGGGGAGGGGTGGTGATCGGGGGAGAGGGGGTGATGGGGTGAGTACGTGGGTTGAGCCCCAGCGCGCGGACCTTCTTGTTGAGCGAGAAGGCGTGTGAGCGTGGCTTGGGGCCGTGCATCGTGGCACCTCCGCGGAACTGGTGGGGGAAGGGGGAGTGGTGAGGTGAGTGGGAAGGGAGGCTTGGGCCCGTGCATGGTGGCACCTCCGCGGAACTGGTGGGGGAAGGGGGAGTGGTGGTGGCGGGGGAAGGGAAGTGGGGTGGGGTGGGGTGAGTAGGTGCACTGGCATGGCAAGGGAAGGGGGCTTGGGGGCGTGCATGGAGGCACCATCGTGGGAGAAGGGGTGAAGGAGGGGGGGGTGGTGGGCGGATGGGTGGTTGGGGGAGCGGTGGTAGTTAGAAGGGTGGTGCGGGGAGGGGGTAGGAGGATGGGTGGTTGGGGGATGCAGACAGGAAGGGTTGGCGCGAGTGTGAAGTATGATGGCCAAGACGGGGTGGTAGAGCAGAGCCGGGCACTGTGGGATAGGAGAAAAGGGGAAACGCTCCGATATGATGGGAGAAGGGGCAACGGGGCAGGACGAGCAGGCGGAGGAGAATGAAAGGCTGAGAATCGGATCGGAGAACAAGAGGGGCATGGGAGAACAAGAGGGGCGGCGAATGACATGGGGGAAATGAACCAAACAATCAGGTCCACCCACCCTATGACTGAGAAGGCCCTCTATGCAAGTCGTGCCTGCCCCCACCCTGTGACCCTCGTGCTTCTTCATGGGCCTCACAAGTCCGTAACCATTGTACGGATGAGCACCGGGGAGTACCGTTCAGCACCGGGCAGAACGGTTAGCAATCCAGCACATCTCTCACCTGCGGCCCTCGGCGTGACCCGTGTCTCGCCCGCCCCGTGCCCTTCTGCTTCCACGGCTTTTTAGACGACCCTCGCACCTCGCACGCCCGCTTCGTGCTGTGCGTACCCTGAGTGAGGGGGGAGGGCACGGGGAAATGTGAGGAGCGAGAGGGTAAGGACGAAGCGATGAGGCTTGCTGGACGACCCCCGCACCTCGCATGCCCGCTTCGTGCTGTGCGTGCCCTGAGGGGGTGGGAGGGGGAGTAAGGCGGGAGTGGGGGTTGAGGACGAGACGATAAAGCTTGCTGGATGACCCCCGCACCTCGCGTGCCCAGTGCATGTGGGGAGAGGATGGGGAGTATTGGGGTGGGTGGGAAGTGAGTTAGTGGTGGTCGGCGGGTGAGGCTTGTTGGATGACACTCGCACCTCGCCTACCCGCTCTGTGCTGTGAATGCCTGGTGCATGGGGAAGTGGGGGGCGAATAGGGAGTGAGTGGAAGGTGAGAGGGGTAAAGGGGAGTGACGGGACGATAATTGCTTGTCAGATGACCTTCGCAGTGCCATTCCAGCCAATCATAACCCATTACAATGCCATTCACCACCCCCTCTTCACCCCCCTCCCCCTCTCCGCTCCCTTCTCCTCTCCGGCCCTACCCTCCTCTCGTCCCCTCTCCTCTCTTCTCCCTCCCCTCCCCTCCCCTCCACACTCCTCTCCTCCCTTCCCAACCCTACGCGCGCCTCTCCCCCGTACCTGGCGGCGCTTCGCGAGCTGCCAGCACACCACGCGGTGCACGATGTCGCGCCGTACAGGCACGTCGAATATAGTCCCATCCAGCACCGCCTCTCCCCTGCTACCCTCATCCCCTCTCTCCACCTCACTCCCCCCCAAACCCAGCGCGTCCCCCACCCCACCCCCACCCCCCTCCGCACCTGGCGGCGCTTCGCGAGCTGCCAGCACACCACGCGGTGCACAATGTCTCGCCGTACAGGCACGTCGAATATAGTCCCATCCAGCACCGCCTCTCCGCGCGCCTCCCCGCTGAAGCTCCGCACCGCCACGCGCCTGTCGCGGTACGTCCCCCACTCCGCCTCCCCCGCTTCCTCCCCCGCTTGCTCCCCCTCGCCGATCACCTCCCCCCCTTCTGTATCCGCTTCTGATGCTTTTGTTGCGACGTCAGGTCCTTTGCCTGAAGCCGACGAAACCCATCGTCGTTGCGACGTGCTTGTGAAGCAGATCAAGTTGTCGCTGATTCGCGTGGTTCCTGACGACGTCGCACTACGAATCGCAAACGATCGCACGATCTGTCGCGTGCTGGCGACGAAAGGCGACGGGTGTACCCAATGAGAAGGCGAGGCTGCAGGCGAGGTATGGGGATTTGGCGACTGCTGGTTGACGGTGTGGGAAAATGCACAGGAGCGCGGAGATGATGGGGAAGTTTGAATGAGAGACACGCGGGAAGAGGAAGAAGATGAGGGGATCGGAAGATGCTTGGACGAGGAAGCGCGGCTGGCGGAACCTCTTAGCAGCCGCGCAGCTATTCGTGCGGCCATAGCGAAACCCGTCGCAGCGCAACTGACGGCGACGGAGTCCCAAGGAAAATAAGCAGGTGTGATTCAGCTGTGCCCGTTATAGAATATTTCCTCCATAAAGGTAAATGCTTCCTTAGGAAAAACAGTTATTCTCGTTTTGATAAAAGATGAGCATGCAATCCCAAATTGAAACAGTTGGCGAAACCGTTACCCATGCTCAAACCTATTCACTAACGCACCCAACCAAAGAAGGCGTTGTTTTTCGCGCACTAGTTTTGGTTCGCCTCATCCGCCCTTCTCTTCCTCGGGTCTTCCAATTTCCACCATGATTTCCTTGATTGTTCCTGACCAATCAGCACATGCCGCGTACCTAGCACTTTAGAACTTTCCCCAATCGCGCGGCCCTCGTGGCTCCGTCGGCATGAGCCAGGAATCACCGCTGCCAACAGCTTTCCAAACCGAGAGGACCTAGAGATTGCCGCCTTGATTCCAATTACTTTTCTCAAGACGGACCCTTGGTCAAGCTAGGAAATTTCTTTGTTCCTGGTGACCGCTGTCGGAAGGCTCATAAAATTCACTAGGTTCTCCGGCATCCTATTTCCCGCTGCAACGCTCCGCACCAGCGCGTCCCGCCGCAGCCCGTCCCCCTCCCGCCTCCCCCTTCCTTCCGCTGCCGACATGTCGGGAGCCGCGCTGGCGCACGGTTCCGTCGCAGCCTCCGCGCAGGCCGCGCGGGGAGCGCACCAATCGCCAATCATCGATCATTCTCGTCGCAGCGCGCGCCTGTCTAGCAGAGCAGCGACCGCGATACAGTTACCTCTCGCGGGCAACTCTGGCGCTTCGCTGCGGAACGATACCCGGCGCGCGGCGTTCAGACGCGGCGCGGTGCGGCGCGTGGCGGTGGCGTCGCTGGCGGAGGAGGAGCGGGAGTTGGCGGAGGTGGAGGCGCTGTCAGACGCCAACTGGGCGCACATGAGTGCCACGTGGAGCCAGCAGGTCCAGCTGGACGAGAAAGAGAAGCCTCTAGGTGCGATCATAGAGCCCTCTAATTTGCGAGTCGACTCAAATTGTGAAAAATAGACTCTATGTGCCCTTCAGGAGACGAAGACCGAGTTTACAAGAAGTCTTAATACGAGAAGCCTCTGGGTGCGATCGTGGAACCCTCAAAGGAGAGAGTGTTCGAGTGGAATAAAGGAGTGCATCAAGCATAAAAGCTCGCGGTTCGCACCAGGTAGAGCGATACGCGAATTTACCTTATAAATCCAATCCCTTTTGATCCCCTCCCACTTCCCTCCGTGCTTCCGCCACCCTCCAACCCCCCTCCTCCCTCCTTCCACCGATTGCCCACATTTCCCACCTTCAATTACGCCGGTGCCCGCACCGGAGTACATGACCCTCCCCAAGTCGCAATGCTCGGTGCTGGACACTGAGCGGAGTGCATGACATGGCATGACGCTCCCCCCCATTCCCCTCCCTCCTTCCACCCCCCTTTTCAGCGGAGTACATGACCCTCCCTGCGTCGCAGTATTCCGTGCTGGACGCGGAGCGCATCGAGCGCGTGGACAGCAGCACGTTCCGCTGCTACGCGCACCGCGCGCAGTTCTTCTCCGTCGAGATCTGCCCCGTGCTGCTCGTGCGCGTGGACGAGGAGGCGGACGGCTGCACGATAAGGCTGCTCTCCGCCACGGTGAGCACAGGAGGGGAAGCACAGGGGAAAGCAGAGGGGAAAGCAGAGAAGCAGAAGGTTGGGAGCACTGTGTGCAGTTCTTCTCCGTGGAGATCTGCCCTGTGCTGCTCGTGCGCGTGGATGAAGAAGCGGATGGGTGCACGATAAGGCTGCTCTCCGCCACTGTAAGCACAGGGTGGGGAGCAGGATCACCGCGTGCGGGTCTTGAGCGTCACTGTTAGCAAGGGAGGCTAGACTGGGAGCAGCAGTTCTTCTCCGTGGAGATCTGCCCCGTGCTGCTCGTGCGCGTGGATGAAGAAGCGGATGGGTGCACGATAAGGCTGCTCTCCGCCACGGTGAGCGCAGGGTGGGAAGCACAGGTCTTGAGCGTCTCTGTAAGCAAGAGAGGGTAGGTTGGGGGAACAGTTCTTGAGCGTGGAGATCTGCCCCGTGCTGCTCGTGCGCGTCGACGAGGAGGCCGGTGGGTGCACCATAAGGCTGCCCTCCGCCACGGTAATCGCGGGAGGGGAGAAGGGGGAGCACTGTAACCAAGGGCGGGTAGGTTGGGATCGGTTCTTCAGCATCTCTGTAAGCAAGGGAGGCTAGACCGCAATCTGCTCTTGAGCGTTGAGATATGCCGCGTGCTGCTCGTGCGCGCCGTCGAGGAGGCTCTCCACCACGGTGAGGGCGGGGGGGTGAAGGGGTAAAGCGCAGGATGAGGGAGAGCGCAGAGGAATGGGAATTGCAGGATGAGGGAGAGCGCGGAGGGATGGGGATTGCAGGAAGAGGGGAGCGCAGGGGGGAGAAAGGCAGGGGAAATGCGTGTGGGGGGAGCACAGGAGGATGCGGGCTGCACGATACGTATGCTTTCTGCCATGGTTAGCAAAAGGCGCAGCCTCAGGGGAGGCAAAGGGAAGGCAAAAAGTTTTGATGTGAGCAGCACCCGTTGCTGATTGTCGCCCCTCACCCCGCCTCCCCCCCCTCCCCCTCCCACTCTCCCTCCCTCGCCCCCATGTTCCTCTCCAACCCCCCCCCTCCTCACCAGCTGGACGGGTCACCCATAGTGAAATCACAGAACAAAAAGTTCCGATGTGAGTGCCGCTCTTTGCTAAGTGTCGCTCTTTGCTAAGCTCCGCTCTTTGCTAAGCTTCGCCCCATTGAACTGCTGTCCCTAGTTGAGCAAAGGCTTTCGCTAAGCACCAGTACCCGCATAATCCTTGATGCATGGCTTTCACCACTCCTTCTCCCTTAACCCCCCTAACCCAGCGTCTACGGTGAACCGGGTGCTTATCAGCGCCCCCCCTTTCCCTCGTCTCCTCCCGCCCCTCCCTGCACTCCCTCCCTTCCCTCCCTCCTTATCACACCCTCGAACCACAACTCCACTTCCCTCTGGCCCGCTCCTGCTCCTCCCTCTGCATCTGGTGAACCGGGGGTTTATTAGTGTACCCCCCTTTCCCCCCCTATCCCTCCCTGCACCTCCTAAATTTCCACCTCCCCCTCCCTCCCAGCGTTGATGGTGAACCGGGTGCGGTGGGCGCCTGTCCTTCCTCGCGCTCCTTCTTTCCCCTCCCCCCGCTCCCCTTCCTCCCCCCAACAGCGTCCATGGTGAATTGGGTGCGGTGGGCGCCTGACCCCTCCTCGCCCTCCCTGCTCACCTCTTCCCCTGCTCACCACCCTCCCCTCTCCCCCCTTTTCTCGTCTCCCCTCCCTCCCTCCCTCCAGCGTCCATGGTGAACCGGGTGCGGTGGGCGCCTGACCCCTCCTCACCCTCCTCTTCCTCGCGGCTCATCATGTCGGATACCACTCTCAAGGTGAGCACATGCGATCATGCCATCATGCCATGGTGCCATCATGCCATCATGCCCTCAGCTTCATCCGTTACGCCATGAAAATCGCCTTTCACGCCCTTCTTGCCTCCCCCCACGGAGCTCAGTGGAGGTCCCGATGGCGTTCTGGGCTTCCCAATGCCGTACTGGTGCCTCACCGGCACGCAGTTCCCAAATTACCTCGCTCCCCCCATCTCCCCCCGTCTCCCCCCATCTCCCCCCGTCTCCCCCCATCTCCCCCCGTCTCCCCCATCTCCCCCCGTCTCGCTCCCCACAGAGCTCAGTGGAGGTGCCAGTGCCATTCCGGATGATCTCAAGGGACGTCATAGATAGTGCCAGCAACATACCCACCCACACGGAGAAATCAGTACATCCCTTCACCACCTCTCAAACTGCCTGTCTCCCCCCATTTGGCTCCCGCAGAGCTCAGTGGAGGTGCCAGTGCCATTCCGGATGATATTAAGGGACGTCATAGATAGTGCCGGCAACAAGCTGCCTCACCAGTACGCCTCTCATTCACCCATTCCGCCCATTTCGGCCCATCTCCCCCCATCTCACCCCCCACAGAGCTCAGTGGAGGTCCCAGTGCCCTTCCGGATGATCCCAAGGGACGTCATAGAGAGTGCCGGCAACAAGCTATTGGAGCAGATCCTCAAAGTGGCCGTGCCACGCTTCCTAGAGCAGGTGAGCGTTGCAATTCTTTGATTCGTGCTGTGCTACGTGAGCGCACACACATCAGTGCCGGCAACAAGCTCTTGGAGGAGCCTGTACTTTGATTCTTGAAGTTGCCGTGCCGCGCTTCCTAGAGCAGGTGAGTGTTGCTCTTCCATTGCTTACTCCCCTCGTGTTGCGCATTAAGGGTGCCTGTATGCGCACACACACCTTGAGAGTGCCGGCAACAAGCTGTTGGAGCAGATCCTTAAAGTGGCTGTCCCACGCTTCCTAGAGCAGGTGAACGCTGTAGTTCCCCTTGTTGCGTGTGAGGCGCTTGAACAACTACGCATGTGAGTGCCGGCAACAAGCTTTTGGAGCAGATTCTCAAAGTTGCTGTGCCATGCTTCCTAGAGCAGATGAGTGCTGCTCTCCCCTATTGTTGTGCTTTGAGGTGCTTGCCATTTCCTCTCCTCTCCCAATCTGCCCTTTCTATGCCCCCTCATGCCTATCTTTCTCTTCAATGCCCCATCCATACCCTCTTTTCTCTGCACCTTACATGTCTGCCTCCACCTCCCGGCATCCGCAGTAGGACTGTGCAGCCTGGCTCAAGGAAACTTGGCCTTCAGACAGTCGTTTAGCAGCAATTCTTGATCCCTCCTGCTCCTGCTTGTTTTATCCCCTCCTCTCCGTATCCGCTCACTCTGTCCCTCTTTGCCCTTCCCCACCTGTCCCTTCTCTCTGCCCCCTCCCTCCCCACAGCTGAAGAAGGATTATGAGGCATGGGCCTCAGGGGACACTTCGCGAAAGCCCCTTGGCACAGGGGAGTTGTAACTTGTACCCAATACTACCGGTACCAGGATTGTTATGCGTGTATA